TCCTTGTGGGCCCAGGGTACTAACAAGAGTCCTTAGGAGAGGGCTGCAGAAAGGTCAGGGTCAGAGAAGGCCATCTGAGAACGAAAGCGGAGAGAGACAGAAGGCGACAGATAGCACCAAGGAAGAGAGGCAGAGAAAGAGGGGGAGACTGGAGTGGGTATGCTGCTGGCTTTGAGGATGGAGGAAGGAGCCCAGGAAGGCAGGTGCCCTCTCGAAGCTGGAGAAGGGAAAGCGATGGACTCTCGCCTGGAACCTCCAGAAGGAACGCAGCCCTGCCGACATCATTTTGTTTTTTTATTTTTAGCTCATTTCAGATTTTTGTCCTCCCAAACGATAAGATAATAAATTTGTGTTGTTTTATTTTAAACCACTAAGTTTGTGGTTATGTGTTGTAGCCATAATAGGAAACCAATAACACATAAGTGAAGAAAGGAAGATTTATCCAGAGGGTCAAGACATTTGACCTAAACTAGGGAAGCGATATGGATGCAAAACACAATTAGAAGCTACAGTGAGCCCAGCATGTGGAAGCAATGAGAAAAGGACACCAGGTTAAAAAAAGAACAGATGCAAAATTTGTAGGTAAAACCCACTAAGTGCTGTGTTTGCTAACGTCGCCACCATCACCATCACCACCATCAAATGCCCCTGCCTTTGAGATCATTTATTCATTCTTTCACTCATTTAAATATTTACAAAGGTTTCCTGTGTTTACCATCTCAGGGAATGACACCAAGACTCACCAAGTTACCAGGTCATCCTTGATTCCTTCCTCTCTCACATCACTACCTCTTCCTTCCGGAGTCCCTACCTCACCTCAGCCGAAACAGTCAATGACCACATCTTGTTGCTTCTACTTCTAAATTTTCTCTTCAATACCTATAACCACTCCTCTAGTTCAAGCCACCATCATCTTCCTCCGGGTTTACTGAAAGAGCCTCCAACCAACCAGCCACCCTTTCTCCAGCCTCGTAAGCCTCCAACCTGTTCTTCATGTACTCAGCCAGAGTGATCCTTCACGAACTCCCGCTCCCATATGAGGACATGTTACTACTCTCCTGCTTAAAACCCTAAATGGCTCTTCAATGCCTTTGGGATAAAGCCCAAAATCCTGAACAAAGCTAACCAAGCCTTACAGGATCCGCTCCAGCCTCACCTCTTGACCCTTACACTCCAGCCATATTGAACTATGCTTAGACCCTTCGAGCACCATGCTCTCTCATTTCTGGGTCTTTGCACAAGCTGATCCATCTACAGGGAACACTCTTCCTCCTCTTCCAGACTCATTACAACCTATCATTCACATTCAACTCCCCTAAAAAGCCTCCCTGATCCCCCTCCCCAATTTAGGTTATATAGTGATAATACGCTTCGATTTTACTGTACTCTGTACTTCTTAAAATAAGATCCTCAAGAGGTAAGCGTCTCCATACCTTCTACTTCTATGTAGAAATCAGTGCTAAAATTAATATTGGGATTACTCCTAAATACAATGAATTTTGTATTTATAACTAAAAGGAATATGAAACAATAATGAAAATTATTTCTGGTGTATTCCTTTAAGGAAAAAGGCAGCTTCCAAAGCCAGATGAAGACTTTTAAGAGAAAGAAATAAGATGTAACAGTTTAATAAAACATCATGTATTATTTGCAAAATATAGACACTGTTCATTTGCTGGCAGTCTTTGCCTTTTTATTTGAAATTTTCCTCTTGCACAGTTTGCCAGAGATTCAACCTCAATAACAATTTTCTATTAGACAGAATTATTAATTTGTCACAAAATTTTGTGGGATACAAAACAATTTTAAAGAACTTAAAATCAGTTTGCCTTTATAGATCATAGACTAAAAGACTCTATGGAAAACACACACTAGTATAAAGAAATGTAAAAACAATATTAAGTATCCATTTGCAGGAAACTGCTCAAATAACTTACGGGACAGTCATACAGTGGACTCAGACATTTGAAAACCATAAGATAGAACTATGCCTACTAATATGAAAAGATGTCTATCATATCTTATGCAACCAAAAGCAATCTGCAAGATAGTATATATAATTAAGTTACTGGGATCATAATGTTTTCAAAAGTGTGTGTGTGTGTGTGTGTGTGTGTGTGTGTGTGTGAACAAGAAAAACTTCTGAATAGTTAAAAATTTTTTCAACAGCTAATTTTATTTTGGAGATCAAAAATATTAACAAGTCATCCATCAGGTGAAAACAAATGTCATTAGGTTTAAAACTACATAAAGTGAGCCCTTCACCATAGCGAATATTACATTTTCTTACAGAAGTTTATGTTGTGTGATAGTAAGCATAAGTTTCTATTAGTCAGCACTTCAGCAATATCCAGCATATAACTGATAGTCATAACCCAGTAAATTCTTATGACACTTTCAGCAACAAAGATGAAATGACATTCAGCATATCTGCTACATTTTATTACATTCTAGTTCTTTGGAAATGAGTAATTCATTTATGAAATACATGGTAACTTTCTGTTAAAACAACCTACTCTGTTACAGTGTAATAACATGAGAAAACTTTTTGAGTTTTTAGGAGAAACACTAAAGAAATTATAACTTTGAGGCATTTCTCTATGGCAATTAAATTTCAATTAAAAATAGAGAAACTCAAAGTAAGGCAAGTTTCCTATTCTCTCAAATCCCACGTACATCACATGGTTTATTAGGTATGTAAAGGTATATCTGATATCAAAGTATAGAGAGCAACAAATAATAAGTAAAACACACACACACCGGAGATACATACATAGACATGTTACTGAAAGAAAGTAGAATATAATAATACATAGTAACCTTAATCCCTTACTTTCCTCATCAACAGTTGGTTTCAAAAAAAATTATTGAAATAACTGAACTTCCTTGTCTTCTCTCCGAACTTAAAATGAGAGTTATAGGGAAAAAAAAAGATACTAGAAGAGTGCTGTTTAGTAAAAATATAGTGAATAAGCAAAAACCACATGGGAAAAGATAAATTAGGAAACATTACTTCGGAACTGACCAATTCTCCAAACACCAATTGGACTCATTTAGTTTTTTAGTAACATCGTGTATATTCTTGACATTGCTCTCTTATCACACACTTTGATTTACCATCACAAGGTACTTCTCATTTTTTTCAACTAATGAAGTATTCAAAATAAATCCATCCCCACAGCAGAAATGAACCTGGGCCCTACAAACAACTCTGTGCTGAGAAGTTGCTTAATGCTGGGAATATAAATGTGAGGGAAGTGTGATGCAAAAAAGAAGCTGGACGTTGGGGTGAGAGAGTCGAGGCTGAATTCTGGTGGCCTTTAGAGAGTTATTTCCTTTCTCTGAGCTTCAGTTTCCTCATCTATAACATACAGATAAAACCAACTACAGAGCAGAATTACTAAGAGCTTTAAGAAGAACAGGAGAAAGCACCTAGAACACAGTACCTGGCACATTCTAGGCAATAATGTATCTGATAAGAGTGTTTGGTATGTGTCAGATACTGTTTTAAGTGCTTGGCATGTATTAACTTAATTATTTAATAATTACTGTCACTACCTTTGGCACTGCCTCCGCTTCTGCTCCTCTCCACCCTTTGGAGATAACTTGAAAATTTGAATCCAAATTAAACAGCACAGAGATAATAACAGCTGTGTGTCAGACACTGTACTAAACTAGTTACATGGATTATTTCATTTAATCCTCACAACAGCCCTCACTCACATCAATAAGGTAGGAACTATTATTAACCTTCTCTTAGAGATTAGTTCCTAATGCAGGCTTAGAAAGATTAAATAACTTGCTTAAGGTCACACACACAATAAAGTCTGATTTCAGAGTCCGCGTGCTTAGCAACGCTGCTACACTAAAAGGAAATTCGACTTTTAAGTAATCTCAAAATAGCAGAGACACCTACTCTTCATAGCCCATTAGTTTTCAATGAGTTTTTGAAACAGACGTGTCAAGTAGACAAAATGTATCAGTATCTACACTTATCACCACAGTTTCCGCTTTTTCCTTCAGATCTATTCCAATCTCCTCCCAAAGGGGATCTGAGCTGGCGAGAATTCCAGTTCCTAATCACTGAAGAGCAGAGAGATAGACAGCAGGTCACAAACGAAGCAAAACCTAAACTCTGAAGTTTTTTCGCAGCCTGCAAAAAACCACCTCTTCACTTTGTAACGACTGAATCAGCTTCTGCACCACAAGCACTCTAAACCATAGGGTTTGAAAAGATTCATTAGGAACCAGGGGTCCTATGCATTCCCTCCAAAACTTTCCTCCCATTACCAAGGCAATCAGCAAGCCTTCCCTTTCTTTTGCAAGCCCGCCCCGCACCGTGCACCCCGCGCAGCCCTGCAAACGGAGGGGTGTGGGTAGGAAAAGCGTCACGCGAACGTCCAGTTCCATCCCCTTGTTCCGTCGACTTCAGCGATCTGGGCCTCGCACGGACTGGTGACAACAAATAGGGAAGAAAGTATCGGGGGAAATGACTATGTGTGTCGTTCTCTTTCTAAGGTCTGTGACTTCATCGATTCTTCCGGAGGGTTTTGTTGAAGAATCAAGTGACCCTAGAGATGCTAGGCGCTTGGGGATGAGGGTGCTCCTGGAGGCCCTAAACCAGCTTCAGGCTGTGATCCCGTTTTGGGGTCTAAGGCAAGGGTGGGAGCGGCTCGACGGCACTTCCCCGGCCAAGCACGCCCGCACCTGCGGGCCGCCACGCAGGCACACCTGTAGCCCCTCGCCCCGCACTAGAGTGGGCAGGTGAAGGCAGGCCAAACTTCACCTTGACGGCCCCCGGAACCAATCAAAGCACGCGACTCCCGCAGCGGCCCAATCGCAGAGCGTCTTGGGTTCCGCAGCTGGGGGTCCCAATCTAACCACCACTTCGCCTCCGCGGAGAGCGTGGGTTTCCACAAACTCTCAGGCCGAAGCGCGGCAGTCCCCAGAAGGCGAGTAGAAGTTCGCGGGGGAAAGACAAGGCAAACGGAAACACTCACCCGCCCTGCCGCAGGAGGGTTACTTCTCCCCGTGGGGCGACATCTCGGCTCAATCAGTGCGGTGCCCGCACGCCCCTGAGCAACCGCCGCCGCCACCGCCGCCTCAGCCTTAGGGTTCGCCGCGAAATCGCCGCCGCCTGTTTCGAAGGGACCAATCAGAAGGCGGAGAGTAGGCGTGGCTGGAGGCCCCGCCCCTCAGGGCCGCCCAGGAAGCACGCGAACCGCGCGCGCGTCTCCGTCAGCCCGGGGCTCCCCGCCTTCCACCTCGTGGCGTGTCACAACTGTGGTGGGCACGCTTCTCCTTTCGCTGAAAGACTGAGTGGCTGGGTTACCCAGCAGATCCTCCCATCTGGCCCCGTGGCGGCAGCCAACAGTCGGTCCTATTAGACCCCATATCCTGGAATGTTGCCCTTAGAGTTCAGGGATGTTGTAATGAGTTTTATCCTGACCTGATAAGGGCCCCTCCCAACCGCTAATCCACTCGTGATCTGGCAGTACTGAGGGCGCCATGGTTTCCGGAGAGACTGTCACCAAGCAGGAATGGGAGTCCTAAGTAGAAACCTAGGAGAAGAGAGATAGGCCCCTCTTCTCCTGAGGGGTAGGGGTGAGGGGTAGGGAGGAATCCTCTAGCTCCAGGCCACAACTGAAAGCAAAAAAAAAAACAAAAAAAAAAACGGATGCTGGCACTTCCTTAAGAAAACACAGGAGCCAGGGGAGAAAAATTAACCTCAACATGATGAGATAGGCTTACTAACTCAGAGGGTTGAGATAAAAGCAGAGACTGGACTTAAATGTAGCAACAGATAGGTCTATAATAACTGTAAATGTGGCTTGTGAATAGCAAAAAAATAAAAAAATCAATGGTCAAAAACCTGGAGGTCCAGGCCCTTCTCCTATTGTTAGTTCAATTTTGTCAAATCATGTCACAGCTCAGGGACTCCCATTCCCCATCTGTAAAGTGTGGGAGTTGACCTGGAATTATGGTCTCTCTCTAGCATTTATTCCATCATTGACTCATCAAAAACAGTGAGGAGGTACTGCTGCTTGCCAAAGAGACTAAAATGAAGAAGACAGTCCCTGCCTTCAACATGCTCAGCAGCATGGTAGAGGCTCAATCAATAAAAGTCTGTGAAAGAGGGAACACCTAACAGTCTTGGGGGGTGATGGTCAGAAGTTCGAAAAGAGTTGTATTTTGAAGGATGACTAGGAATTTGCCAAGAAGGAGGATAAATGGGAGTAAGGAGTGCTTTACAGGCACAGAGAACAACAAAGTTCCAGAGGTGTGAGAGCACCCGGAATGTTGTGGGAATAGGAGCTTTGAAAGACTAAAGTTTGGGGATCAGGTGATAGATGAGGCTGGAGGAAAGCACACAGATCAAAGGCTTGGTGGGTGCTAAGGAGTTTTGATTCTTTCTTGCAGGCAGTTGGGATTGATTATAAAGAGGAAATGGTATAAACAGATTTGTGTTTTAGAAAAAATATCATTTTCAAGGATTTTTGAAGAAAGGAGTAAGACTGACAGCAATTCTAAAACTTAAAAGTTGACGATTACCTAAACTAGCTGAAAAGGGATGGTGAGGAAGAGGTGTCTGGAGATACCGAAGAGGCTGGCTTGTCTAGACTTGTTATCATGTGACAGTAACACCCATCTAAGGAATACAGGGAGAAGAATAATGCATTTTGGTTTGGGGTGTGTTCAGTTTGAAGTGTGAGAGGAAGGTAGAGGTAGAGGTATTCCAAAGATATTTGCAAAGTTAGGTCTGAAGCTGATTAAACAGGTGCAAAAGATAATGGACTTGAAAAATCAACAAATACTATCAAGCTCTTGTTCTTCACCATACTGTACCTTGAGATAGGGGTCCTGTTCTCACCAAGCTTACCTTCTGGGGTGGGTGGGTAAAGACAGTCATCAGAAAGTTGACATATGAGTGGTAACTGAACCTGATGCCTGACAGTGACAGTGGTTGCTCCTTTTGCACAGAAGTTCATCCCAGAACACTTTGCTGCCCATGACTAAAATAGATGATTTTCACAGGACCAGTCATTCAAATCAACCTTTGTTTTACAGTGTTTATATTTCAGACAAAAGGGCAGTTGTCATACCACTTCATTTAGCCAAATGTCAAGTGGAGTTGTGGCTTTAAATTGGATTTGTTGAGCCCTGATATCAAAATATGTACACTTCTCTACAAAACTTTGAAAATAAGCAGATTGTGTAATATATATATATCTTGTTTGATGAGTCATTTGTTAAAAGTTCTTTTATTCTTTCTTACATGCATACAATGTGCCTAAACATTTGAGTGCCACTTATAACAGTTGAAACTGTGCTATATGAGGTACGTACACATTCTCTCTCTCTCTCTCTCCCTTCCTTACCACCCCCAACACCTAATATCTCTAAACCACTTACTGAAACTTTGGAAATAGGGTGTTTTATGGTTGATTTATTTTTATTTTCATTGTCTATTTGGTTTGTCTTGGTAACTTCTCTTTCTCATAAAGATATAGGACAATATGTTGGAAAGTGAATCCAGAGCCAGTCTGTGCAAATCGCTTCTCCTCTCTGAGCCCATATGCTTCACTAGTTAAATGTGAGAATTGGGTGAGGAGTTCCCTTCTAGATTCTTCAATTCTTGTTGCTCTTCCCTTCTGTATAAAGAATAAAAAAGTTCTCTTTGTTGCTTCCCAGCCTCACTTTTACATTAATTCATAGTGGTACCCCACTCCCAAAGCATACTCACCATCTTACCTACATTGGTTTTAACACTGCAATTAGTGATTGAGGGTTCTACCTAATGCGCTGCAATCTACTTTCATGTGTAGGTTTTCTAATTGGTGGTTAGGTTAATAACCATGTTTTAGAGATTCTTGCTTTACATGAAATTGACATGGTTGTGACATGCAGAGCGAGCCTCATCAGTTTGCATCTATCAGATGACTGAGTCTATTAGTGCTCACTTTCCCAGAATTGTGAAGATGTACCCTGCTTTAAAAAAGTACTGTGCTTGTAAATCTAAAATTTAAGTTAGTACGTTAGGAATAATCATTCATCTGACTAAACATCTCTACAAAATACAGAAGAGTCTCTCATAGTTATGGAACCCATGGATATGAAATATGATTTGGCTCTTTTACAGACTTACAAGAATGCTCCACTGCTCAAAATATACCATAGCTGTAGGTATTTTTGCTTTTGATCAGTTTATTAGTTTTTTTGTTTTACATTTTGTAGTTGATGCTATTGTTTTTAAATGCTTTTACATTATTGTCAATCTATGGATGTACTGGATTTGGAGGCAATAGAGATCTTGATTCATTCACAATTAACCTATTCATTCTGCAGATAATCTGTTGATAGCCAACTACATTTAAAATAATACTAAGCTCTATCTTAAAGGAATGTTGCCAGTTTATGTTAACAGATATATAAGTAATTCAATGATGTAAAATTTTATTATAATTGTTATTAATACTAAAGTATTAACCTATGTAGTGGATTGAATAGAATCCCCTCCAAAATTCGTGTTCACCTGGAACCACAGAGCGTGACCTTATTTGGAAATAAGAGTTTTGTAGATATAATTAAGGTAAGGGTTAAGATGAGATCATATGGAACTCGGGTGAGCCCTGAATCTAATGAGAGTGTCCCTATAAGAGATAAGTTATCTGTGATAGAAAAAAAATCCTCAAATTGACATGAAAAAAGGGAATGATTGGCTCATGTAATTGACATCCCTGGCTAGAACTCCCTGAGCTTTAGTCAAAGCTCAATCTACAATTTCAAATAATGTAACCAGATTCCAGTCTCAAATGGCTCTGCTTTTTATATTGGCTTTATATTCAGATTCCCTCTGGTTACAAGACGGTTTCCAGCATTTCTACATTCTCTTAGGTTTGAGCCTAACAAAAAAAAGTGAGTAACTGTAAGCGTATAGTTAGGCTCAAGTCAGAAAACATAACCCGCTGTAGGAGCTTCAAAAAGAAGGGATTTAAGACAGGGACGTGGCTTCTAAAGAGATGGAAGAACTGAGACAATAAACAGGAGCAGATGAGACAACCCAGAGATGCGCAACAGTAGGAAGCCTCTACACCTAGGCTTGTAGGGTCAACAGAGGGGTCCAGAGGCAGGGCCACCAGCACTATGGTAGGGTTTGCCCAGCAGGAGATGCAGTCACTGCTGGATATGCCATGTGAGGCAGAGAGAGTGAGAAAGAAATACCCTGGCTTTTCCCTTTCTGTCCTCCAGTCTTCCACCAATGCTGTCCATTGATTGCCCCTAGCCAGAGCCAGCGAACAGAAGAACCTATAAAATGCAGGGTTAGCCCTCCCTCCCAATATGAGCAGAGGCAATGGGAGGAATGATCTGAACACAAACAGGATATATTATTTAGGTTTTGGTTGTGATAATGCTATATAATAAATAACTCCCAACTCTCAGTGGCTTACAAAATAAACATTGATTTTTCTTGCTTGTGCATCTGTAAGCTTAAAGTAGAGGGAAAGGGCTCTGCTTAATGCTGTATGTTGGCTTTAGGTTCTTTTTGTCTCTCATGCCGGGACTTGCAGTTATCCAGGGCATCTTCTTGTCATGGCAGATGGCAAAGTGTAAGAGCGGCAAGCAGAAAAAAAACATGTGATGTCTCTTAAGGCCTCAGTTTGGAACTGTCACACTGTCACTTCCACCCACATTCCATAGCTCAAAACATATCACATGGACAAGCCCACCATCAATGGGCCTGGACATATATTCTGTCTACTCTTATGAGAGGCACACAAATTCACAAGGCAAAGGAGCCCTGGGCATATAATTCTATTACAGGGATAGAGTAAAGAATTTGGAACACTAATACAACACACATGAGCAGCTGACCAGCACTGCCTGCCTCCTAAAAATATTCCAAGCAAAATATCTCATTTTCTCTTAATGGGTCACATGCCCAATCCTAAACCATTCACTATGGCCCAAGATGTGTGCTGCTCTGATTGTTTATGTCTGAGTCAGGTTCCATGCTGAAGCTGGGGTTAGAATCAACTCTATCCAAAACACAAGACAATGAAAGGGTGTGGTCCCCCTGAGGAAATCAGAGTACTCTTGGCATAATAAAGGCAATGGATTCTGGGTGTCCAAAAAAATAACAGATACTCACTTCAGTAACTAACACCCAAATGTAATATACGGTATTTGACAGTTTACTGAATGTATTATTTTCCACAATAAGGAAAAATAAATAATAAATTATAATTTACTTGTTAAAAAAAAAAACTAGGAAAAAGTAAAAGTAAAATTCTGCTATAGGATGAAATCAGTTGCTCATATCCTGTAGTTGGATTCGTTAATAAAATGTCCATAATGTTGATATGAACTAGAAAACCATCACCATGAGAAAACAATGGTGAAGCTAGATCAAGTCAGAAGAAAGTCCAGTGTAGGGGTCATGTCTTCTTGGGAGAGAGCAGCAACCCCAGCACTACTGATATTTTGAGCTAGATAATTATTGTCTGAGGCCATTCTGTTCATTGTAGGATATTTAGCAACATCCCTGGCCACTATTCACTAAATGCCAGTAGTATCTCTACACACACCCCACCTACCCCCCGCTAGTTACAACAACCCAAACTGTCTCCAGACATTGCCAATTGTCCCCTGGGAGACAAAATCACCCCAAGTTACAACCCCTTGGGATAGAGGGGGAAAGGAAAAGGAGAGAATGAGGGAAACCCTTTGTCTTTTTCTCTATTCTTTCTTCTTTTCTCACTTAGTTTAATAGGACATAGCATTTTGGGAAAGGCGTTTTATCTGGACCTAGAATTTGGGGAGGGGCAAGAGACAGGCTGGAGCAGGACCTAATGGCGAAGAGTCTCCAAAGCTAAATGGCTCTGCCTAGGAGTTAAGAGGTGTTGCTGAAGCCAATGGTAAACCACATTGGCGCATAACCAGATTCGCATTTTAGAAAGACATCGTTTTAATGGTTCATAAAAGTGTACATCAGAGAAAGGGTGATGCCCTTCTTTCATAACACTTAGCGCAATTTGTACTTATTTCATTTCTATGTGCTTATTTCTTGTTTGTCTTGTCTACTAGCCTGTAGATTCCATGAGATTGGAGACCATTTCCTTGTTTTGTTTACTACCATCACTCCATTAGATCAGAGCTCAAGAGACATTTAGAAATACAACGCCAGTAATATCAGCTTATGGCAGCCAATTGTAATAATAATAATTACAGCAGTCGCTACAATGTCCTGGGCACTTAGTACTGACAGGTGTTGCCAAGTAAATTGCTTTTGAAACACTATCATGCTTAATTTCAACCTTGTGAGGTAGGAATATCATATTGTCCACATTTTACACATAAGGAAACTGACTCTAAGAAAGCTTAAATTCCCGCCCCCACCCAACCCCCCAAAGTCACAAGGCTAATTACTAGATATTCCTCTGTGATACTCTGTGTCAATGATACGCATTTTCTGACCTTAAAACCAGATTCTGCCATATTTCTTCATGGGTGTGATATCTGAGCACAAATTCTTACTGTTCCTTTTCTCTTTGTCTTACTCCTTTACTTTTTGTTAAAGTCTCACAAAAATTCTTTCTGGAAAAAAAAATCCATCAGTGTACTGTTTCTGTTCATAGTTCTGGCACCAAATATATGGGTCTTTTCCACACCAAAAACCAGTTCTGACACCAACTGGGTGTCCTAAAATTCAGTTCAATTGTGACACTACCTGGCGTTAGCACAGACCCCACAGATTAAGAGCTCAGTCCCACAAGACTGCCCCGCCCATAAGTCCCAGGTTGTCACCTGTACTTCTGACCAACTGCCTATAATCCAGGGTTTCCCACGACCCCCTGCTCAGGTTCAATAATTTGTTAGTATGGCTCACAGAACACAGGAAAACAGTTTACTTACTATTACAGGTCTACTAAAAGAGAATACAACTCAGGAACAGAAACGGAAGGGTCATAGGTAAGGGATGGGTTGGAGGGATGGGGGCTGGCTAGGAAGAGGGCATGTATTTTCCATGTTCTCTCCATCATACCACCCTCCCAGCACCTCGGTGTGTTCATAAACCCAGAAGCTCTTCAAACCCCATCATTTATGGGTTTTATGGGAGTTCCATTACACAGGAATGACTGATGAAATCATCAATCATTTGTGATTGTCCTCAATCTCTGGGCTCTTCTCCTCTCTCCAGAGGCCTGGCATGGGGCTGAAAGTTCCAACCCTCTAGCCTCTGGCAACCAGCCCGCACCTGGAAGCATCTAGAAGTCCACAAAGATTCACTTTATTAGCTTAAACACAGGTATGGTTGAAAGGGGCTTGTAATGAATAATGAAAGATGCTCCTATCACTCAGCAAATTCCAAAGGTTTTAGAAGCTCTGTGTCAGGAGCTGGGGATGAAAACTAAAAATGTATTTCGTACTGTATCACAATAAGTTTTCCACATAAGAAGCATTATTATTTGCTATTACAAAATCTTAACCACTTGAAAAAATCCAGCCCTAAAGGAATAACTCCTAGCTCTGTCTATAGAGCCCCACCAGTTCTAGCTCATTTTCCACTACTTTCCCCTAGGTGCCTTGTGATCTGGCGACAACAAACCACACTCAGTTCCCCAAACCCGCTCTACTCCTTCAGGCATTCAGAAATTTACTTCTCTGTTTTAAATGTCCTTTCCTCACCACCCCTCCTCTGGTGGGACTACAACTTCCCACTTCCTCTTCATTCATCAGGGAAAACCCTTTTAGATGGTCGGGGCTGATACCTTCATTGTGCAACGGGGAGGCTGAGGTTTAGAAAGGGACGTGCACCCTTCTGTCTCTCTCCTTACATTACTTGTGGTCTTTTAACACCTGCACAACTCCCTACCTCCCTCCTTTCGCTCCTGCCACCCTTTGGCCTTGAATCACTTTCCCTCTTACCCTGACTCATGGAAGTCTTGGCTATCCTTCCAAGCCCAGGGGAAGTGCCACCTCCCCCATGAGACTTTCCCGGTGGAATCCATACAACATTCCTCTGTTCTTCTTTGAAAGCCCCTCCAGGCAGTTACTGTGTCTTAATCATTTTGTATCACCCATGGAGTCTAGTGAAAGAATCTTGTACTTAGTGGGGACCCAAGTCTTTGGTTGTTGTTGTAGCAGATGGAATCCAACTGATGCTAGCCACAACTCACTCCCTTTTCCACTATTTTTAGGACTTCAGGGTTGCTCTGGTATCTTAATACAAAAAGAAAAAAAAAAACCACTTCCTTGCTAAGCAAGGTCCATGTTGGCTGACCTCAGGAGGAAGGGAGATATTAGTCCATTACATAGAGGTGTTTTATTGTATTCACCAAAGGAAAATGGGGAGAGGAATGTGACAGTGTAACAATGAAGGAAGGAAATGAACTAATTCCTGCTTTGGGAGAAGTATACAACAGCTGTGCACTGGGCTGAAGGAGTGTTTTCCAAAAGCAAAACAAAACAAAGAAATGATGAATTATATGCACCGAAGCCAAATGTGAACGCTTTTAACAGAGCAAAGGGGACGACCCATCGCTAGAGTTATCTCCACACTGAATTTGTAAATGCTGCCTCAAAAACCTAACTTTGAGAAGTATTCCCCCTAAAAGGATAACTAAATATGCTTGGGGGAGCATTTTATGTGAGAATCATTTATTTTTCTGTATGGCATTCTATTCTCTTTGAACTTCGAAGAAAATGAAGTGATCAGAGCACTACTACAAATGACTGAATATTCACCAGGGCTTCTCCAGGGATGAAAGAAGGACCGTTTATGTTGTGAGAGTTTATCTTTTTTGTAAAGTGTCCCCTCAGGCTCAAAAGGATGCCGTTCATCATTTAAACAAAATAAGAGTTTGCATATTTTTCAAGTTCTGTTCCCAAATAAAAGTCCATTGCCATTGTGTTTAGTTTATTGCCAAAATTGTACATAACTCACTCTTTAATAAAATATATGCAATAAGGTAAGATGAAGAGCAAAATGAGATTTTTCTCTATTTCAACAGATAGAATGGAAGCAAGGATCAATTTAATTAGGCAAACAGGGCATGCCAATGAGAATAAAAAATTCCCTGAAGCCATGTAAAATACAATGTAGAGAAAGTAATTCTATCTAGCCCCATATGTACAGTTGTGGAAGTTAGATAATTACTATATAAATACTCATCAAAATTCTTGTGTGAAACCAAGTACAAGTGAAGTACAAGACAGTTAATACATCAGATTTATATTCTGAGGAAAACAGAGAGCTAGACCCTGCCCCCTGGAATTCTCATCACTGCACATCCCAGATCTCACAGAGAAGCGGGGTAAACTTGTGGTCATTCACTCTCCATGACATCAGCATCTCTGCATGGTGATGATTGAATGTCCGCAGCTCGGTTAGGCGACCCAGGAGACAGGCAAAATGTTGAGGATTTTCAGGCTGATGAATCTTGCACAGCTTTTGTAGCACATCAAGCAGTGGTTCCTGAAGCTTTTCTACTGCCTCTCTGTCCTTTATATATTGTCTGTCTGTTTTGACGTTTAAAAAATAAAATCACAACATTAAGAAGTGGGAAAATATTAATTTGGTATAATTGTAGCAACGCTAACCTTTTAAAAGTACAACTTAAAAATGTTGTACACTTGAAATGTACAAATTAAGTGTTCAACCTGTTGAAATTTTACATACACATATATATGCTCATGTAATCACAACTAGATTAAGATATAGACTATTTACTGCCCCAGAAGCCTCCC